TAAAAATATGTTATGATGTCGGCTGAATATTCTTTCTACCTTTTATTTAGAAGTTTAAGACAGCATACAAGGTGATCACTTTATTTCAGCACCTTAACCACTAAGCCTTAACTGGCTTTGGTTAAATGGTTGTCCATAATTAAGCTATAATTGGATGGCTTCACATATTGAGGGTAGGCTAAAGCCAGTTTTTTAAATTATAGCCTGGAATGACTGAATCCCATAACTGAGAGAGTGTGGGCCAGTTAGTCTTAATTTTGCCCACCAAAGACTGAACAGCCATGAAATGTAACCGGCAGGATTTTGGACCAGTCAGTGATTGGAAAACCTGGCCACTTCCTCCCAACCTGGTCCCCCTCACAAGCTGTTATTTGGGTGGTGGCAGAGAATCTCTCAATTAGACAAGAACTGAACTAGGTGTCCTTAGTACCTTGGGGGAACAGTCATTGTTTAAAATAAGCAAAACTCTGGAGCTTGGAAGTGATCAATTAACCCGGATCTATTTTTCAAGAAAACTGGGAAAATGGCAGCAATACTGCCAGGACAGCTTCAGGTGCAAAGGATCAGAAACCCATTGGTAAGACTGCAGCAGCATAGAAGATTCATTCAAGCCTCTATGTAAGAAATTGGTTAACTAAAGTTCAACACTAAATTGGTAACAGATAAGGGTCAACAGAATTCAGATAGAATAGAATACTTTATTGGCCAAGTGTGATTGGACACACAAGGAATTTGTCTTGATGCAAATGCTCTCAGTGTACATAAAAGGAAAGATACATTCGTCAAGAGTCAAGAATCATAAGGTACAATACTTAATAATAGTCACAGGGTACAATAAGCAATCAAATCATACTAGGAAACAGTCAAAAATTGTTAGGATACAAGCAACAAGGTTACAGTCATACAGTCATAAGTGGGAGGAAATGGGTGAAAGGAAGGATGGGAGGATTAATAGTAATAGTAATACAGGCTTAGTAAATAGTTGGACAGTGTTGAGGGAATTATTTGTTTACAGCGTGATGGCGCTGGGGGAAAACTCTCCTTGTGTCCAGTTGTTCTGATGTGCAGTGCTCTAGAGCGTCGTTTTGAGGGAAGGAGTTGAAACAGTTTATGTCCGGGATGTGAGGCATCTGTAGATGTTTTCACAGCCCTCTTTTTGACTTGTGCAGTATACAGGTCCTCGATTGAAGGCAGGTGGGTAGCCATTGTTTTTTCTGCAGTCCTAATTATCCTCTGAAGTCTGTGTTAGATAAGGAGGCGTTGGAGCGCTTGTGGGGATGCAAGGAATCTAAACTAATGACAGACTTAACTCCGCCCCTCAGCTCGGCCTGCTCTTCTCCTACAGCAGCTCCCCCCCGCTGGTAGAAAAAGCACAATCTTCGTAGCATCAGGGGGTGAGGGGAACTGATTCAGAACAGCAGATGTGGGCAGGCTTGCTTAGCACCGACTGGATCGCTTCTAAGGACCACGCCTCTCCTTCCTTTCGCTTCCCCAAGTTTCGCGGTGAGGTAAAGAGTGAGCAGAGGCGCCTCCCTTCCTCCGCCACTTTATCTCCCTTGTGGGGCTCGGGGACGGGCGCTAGGTGAGCCCGCGGGGGAAAGAGGACTGCGCTCACACAATGGATTGTCCACCCCATTTCTCTCTTTATTATTTCGGCGAAATTTCTTCGCATCCAGGTGAGAAATAGTTCCCTCTCCAAGACCTGGTTTAATGTCGCATTTCAAAGAGTCCGTCCCGCAACACCCGCAATTTTTTAAAAGTATCTTCCAAGTTGTTGCCACCGCTTCCCGTAATAAGTAAAGAGAGGCTTCGTGTCTAGCGATTCCCCACGCCACCTCTTCAAAAGCCCCTTTCTCGGCTGTGTTGGAATTGCAGATCCTAGGGCAAAAGGCCCCGCTGGCTTTGAAGATTCCAAGGGGCGCGAGGCTGGAGAAGGAGAGTCTAATTTAACCCTAAGAAAAGCAGAGGCTTCGGGTCCTCCTTAGGCATGACGCCATCTGAGTTACCTTGGGACAGTCGAGAGAGAGGTGGGGGGTCGACACTGATTTGAAGGAGAAGGAAGGAAGGAAGGAAGGAAGGAAGGAAGGAAGGAA